TATATATAGTCAAGTCACTGATATTTAAACAAAAAAATATCTTTTATTTAAAACACTTGTCATCCCTACATACATATGTACTACATACCTATGTTACGGCCATCCCTGATATATGGATATAGATTATTGGATTATTTATATTCAGAACTTGTCGATTTAAAAGGTCCAGAATCACAAAGCGTAATATATCTGTGATCCTTCTATAGCCTGCATTACCGATATATCGCATCATCTCTTCTTCAATTTCTTGATCGGTAATATCGGGCAGCTCATTTGTTGTTATAAGAGAAATATTTGCTATGTTTAAAATAGAAACAGGAACTTTTTGGTTCATTTCATCATTAATTTTTTTTCTGGCATTTGAGACATCATAATCACGTAGTAATTCATGTTGAATAGCAGCTAAGTTTCGATATGATTTCTGAGAGATTAGACCCTGGTCAACAATTTTCGTAACTGCTTCAATATGGTTATTTTTTTTATCTCTATTTCTATTACGATAATCAACTATATAGTTTTTTTCTTGAACATTAAATCGAAGTTCTTGTAGAATGGGTTGATCTATTGGATTATAGAATTTGTGAATTTCATTTTTAAAGGCTATACCAATTTGCTTTGAAAATATGTGAGAATGTTTTTCTTTCATGGACTTGCCCAATATGTTAAATGGTTTAAAAGGATGAGATTGATTCTTTCTCTCGCGTTCTTTCTCCACATCTATTGTGTTAAGCCCAAATACATGCACCCCCGAAAGTTGTGCTTGCGTATCAGGATTTCTTTTCTATGTAAAAAAAAAAATTTTAATTTTTTATTAAAAATTAATTGCTAAAAAGAATTAAATTAACTTTTAAGTATTCATTGACAACTTTAGTCACGGATTTTTTCGACGTTATTACAAAACTTTGTTCATCTTTTTCAAACCTAATTATATAAACTGGCCCATCTATTTTGTATTTAATTTCACAATCTATTACATGCTGTGACCTTCCTCGGCCCCACCTTGTTTGTACTACATAATTATCGGGAATTCTGTATGAGGTTCTATTGCGAGAGTGAGCTAAGGTATAACATGTTTTATTTTTTGATGAATAAACCCCTTCACTAATAATAGTATACGTATAAGTAGCATTATTTTGTTTAAGTGAAAACGGGTTGTCTTCAGGATATTTACCGCTGCTAAGAGATATCTTAATATAAAAAAAGCTGTTCTTATTTGATTTATTATATATTATGTTAATTTTTATTCACAGAAAATTCTATGC